CTCAAGAGAGGCTTTCTATCTCCTTCTTATGTTAAATTATGCAAACAAAAAGAACTAATAGTATCTGTTGGTCTTGCAGTGTGTGCTCGGGGTTGGGATCTTATCTCCTGTATAATGGGTTCCCAAGCTGGTGGTATATACCAACCATCTTCCCTATTGAAATTTGGATATTTTTTGCAAGGATCTGTGGTTTATCAAATCTAATGTAATGGTTTGACCCCTAATGCATGTTCACACACTGCAGACTTATTTTCGCGCCTATGTTTCATATCTGCGATATGTTCTTTTACCCGAGTCCCTATACTCTATATACTATAGTAATTAGTAATAATTTTACGGCGTAACGAGTAGCTCAGTCTTTCTAGATTTCACTTTCACAGATAGATCAATTTATGTGTAACAATATTAATTATCAAGTAACTATAATATGTAACAGATACAATTAACCTTACGTAATTGACTGAAATGAGATCTAAATCATTATTAAAGTATTTAAGAATCTTAGATTAAAACAAAAAGGGTAGATACGGTACGCTCATACTTGCATCAAACAAAAACTGATCCCCGGCAGCGCGAACGGGACGGCGAGATCCGCGTCACTGCATTACCGACCCGAGCGAAACAGCACGTTAAGTTTCAACGGCAGCGCGAACGAGACGGCGAGATCCGCGTCACTGCACTACCGATCAATCACGCGACCAGTACTCGACGTCACTACCGAATAAGATTCAAAACAAACAGCATTTTTTATGAAAAAATGTATTTTATAGTACTTACGAATGACAAATGATGCCGTGGGTTTTATTTTTAGCTTTTGAGCAATTTGAGCACTTTTTAAAAACATACTTAGGCTTTGTTTTATCATATAAACACAAAATATTATCAATATTTCTTTTTGGCATTTACATGTACGTCGTTTGCATGTCAAGTTGTGACTAAAGCGATTAGGGTCGTGGAGCACAATTTGTGCGGATCACTTTTGTGAGGCTAGTGTCGTATCTACCCTTTTTGTTTTAATCTAAGTTAAGAATGCAAAAAAACAATTAAATAAAACTAGTTTTTACGGGTTAATGCACGAAACTTTATTTATTTATTGACGTTTCGTAGCCTTCACAGGCTACGTCGTCAGAATCAAACTTTTATTTAATTTGTCGAGCTACCTTCGAAAGACTTTTATGGTTATTTCATTGTTCGATTTTTAAAGTTTTATTGTCTATGTATGAATTTATTATTAATTTTACTTAATAAAGTATTTTATTTAAAATTCTTTTTTGTAATTTTGAATTTATTTATTTGACCCTAACTACCGTAAACTACCACCGGTTCCAAAATTGGGAGACCTTTCTGAGAAGAACCGGCGAAACAAACTCAAGAGAGGCTTTCCATCTCCTTCTTATGTTAAATTATGCAAACAAAAAGAATTAATAGTATCTGTTGGTGTTGCAGTGTGTGCTCGGGGTTGGGATTTTATCTCCTGTATAATGGGTTCCCAAGCTGGTGGTATATACCAACCATCTTCCCTATTGAAATTTGGATATTTTTTAATCTCAATAGCCTCGCGCATCATTCGAGGAACGAATCGCCGCTCAGTTGCAAGGATCTGTGGTTTATCAAATCTAATGTAATGGTTTGGTCCCCCTAATGCATGTCACATACTGCAGACTTATTTTACTAATAAGAAGGAAGGATAATAATCTGAATGTACCACGTCGCCGTCACAGTCGCGCTAAACCTAGCGCAGTCGACTGACAACCTGCTATACTACAATCAATACTTCAAGCCGCCAAAGAAAATCAACCAGTTTCTACGACCGGTCAAGTGCAATATACCCTTTCAAGTTGCTGGTGTCTACAAACTTGAATGCGACTGTGGGCTCTCCTACATCGGGCAAACAAAGAGGAGTATAGGGACTCGGGTAAAAGAACATATCGCAGATATGAAACATAGGCGCGAAAATAAGTCTGCAGTGTGTGAACATGCATTAGGGGGACCAAACCATTACATTAGATTTGATAAACCACAGATCCTTGCAACTGAGCGGCGATTCGTTCCTCGAATGATGCGCGAGGCTATTGAGATTAAAAAATATCCAAATTTCAATAGGGAAGATGGTTGGTATATACCACCAGCTTGGGAACCCATTATACAGGAGATAAAATCCCAACCCCGAGCACACACTGCAAGACCAACAGATACTATTAGTTCTTTTTGTTTGCATAATTTAACATAAGAAGGAGATAGAAAGCCTCTCCTGAGTTTGTTTCGCCGGTTCTTCTCAGAAAGGTCTCCCAATTTTGGAACCGGTGGTAGTTTACGGTAGTTAGGGTCAAATAAATAAATTCAAAATTACAAAAAAGAATTTTAAATAAAATACTTTATTAAGTAAATTAAATAATAAATTCATACATAGACAATAAAACTTTAAAAATCGAACAATGAAATAACCATAAAAGTCTTTCGAAGGTAGCTCGACAAATTAAATAAAAGTTTGATTCTGACGACGTAGCCTGTAAAGGCTACGAAACGTCAATAAATAAATAAAGTTTCGTGCATTAACCCGTAAAAACTAGTTTTAATTAATTGTTTTTTTGCATTCTTAACTTAGATTAAAACAAAAAGGGTAGATACGGCACTAGCCTCACAAAAGTGATCCGCACAAATTGTGGTCCACGACCCTAATCGCTTTAGTCACAACTTGACATGCAAACGACGTACATGTAAACGCCAAAAAGAAATATTGATAATATTTTGTGTTTATATGATAAAACAAAGCCTAAGTATGTTTTTAAAAAGTGCTCAAATTGCTCAAAAACTAAAAATAAAACCCACGGCATCGTTTGTCATTCGTAAGTACTATAAAATACATTTTTTCATAAAAATTGCTGTTTGTTTTGAATCTTATTCGGTAGTGACGTCGAGTACTGGTCGCGTGATTGGTCGGTAGTGCAGTGACGCGGATCTCGCCGTCTCGTTCGCGCTGCCGTTGAAACTTAACGTGCTGTTTCGCTCGGGTCGGTAATGCAGTGACGCGGATCTCGCCGTCCCGTTCGCGCTGCCGTGGGATCAGTTTTTGTTTGATGCAAGTATGAGCGTACCGTATCTACCCTTTTTGTTTTAATCTAAGATTCTTAAATACTTTAATAATGATTTAGATCTCATTTCAGTTAATTACGTAAGGTTAATTGTATCTGTTAGATATTATAGTTACTTGATAATTAATATTGTTACACATAAATTGATCTATCTGTGAAAGTGAAATCTGGAAAGACTGAGCTACTCGTTACGCCGTAAAATTATTACTAATTACTCTTACACTACCAAATTTTAATTGTTTTCTTGTTGTCTATTTGTCTTGACATTGGTTAGGAAAAAAGTCGTTTCTATATATTTGTGATTTATATTTACAAACTACATACATATAAGTGCAGTGACACTTGATTAACTTACTTATTTTGTACGAAAAACCGAAAATCATCCTGATTTGAATCCGGTTGTATCCGGCCGGACTGAAAATGACACCGGATTGCAATCCCTAGCTACAATCTAGACATGGTGAAAGAGATTTTTCGACGTTCATCAGTTGCTTCATACACGTTTGACGGTTGTTGGAGCTGTCCTCTGACGAAACTTCCAGAACATTCTCTCTATCATAAGATTAATAGAGCGAAATATTCGAAAATTCGCTCGATTGTTAATATAAAATATAGTTCTAATTGTTTCAACTTTTCCTTTAATCATTAACTAAGGCCCCTACGCTTGCTTAAATGAAACAAATAGTATGTTGTTAATTGTTCATTAAGATCGATCTTTAATTTTTATTCATACTCAACACTAACTTGAAATTTTATTATAACCGTATTATTATAATTAAAGGAATTATATTATTACGGTTAATTAAATTTCAAGTTAGCAGAGAATGATTTTTCAGCCATGCCATAGGTATAAACGTTCAAACCCCTTCTTAAACCCTTACTCCCTTATTAATAAACGAAGAATAAGCTTGGATTTATACTCCACGTTTTGTCTCTGTTCATTGGATGAAAAATGGCATTTGAGTGATATGAACAAAATACTGAATAACTAATCTAAGTTCATTTCTCATTTATTAATAAGAGGGTTAAGGTGGATTTTTCTAAAACTGCTTTTTAATTGCTCTATTCTAAGAATCAACTACCCAAATATTATATAGTTCTAGTTTCGGCACTAAAGTTATTTGCACAAGCTAGTCTGGAAATAGCATAGTTAAGTAATCTTGATATTGGTAGACTTCAAATCAAATAATAAAAAAGTGTAATGTTATCGTAGCTGATTTAAGTGCGAGAAAAAGAATTGTATAACGCAGTGTAACTTTTAATAGTGAGTCAATAATAAGTTTTCTAAAACTTTCATTGATAAAAGTGCACACAACATCTAAGAAAAGTCATGCCGTAGTTATATTTGTTAAGTAGTCAATAATCGAAATTATTAGCAATGCCATCAAGACTGAATACAACTTACTTATTCTTACTTCTTGTTTTTTAATAACTATCAGAACATACTAAGCCCTCATAATATTAATAGAACGTGATTATACATGAACTCTTATCTTAGCAATACATTAAGGCCGTACGAAAGAGACAACCGACTCATGGGCGCCAACTATGTGAATGTTAAACAATGTTTCGATTAAGAATTAAATGCTCTCACAATCACACCTTATTGTTCTTTTTAATATTTTTAAGTGAAACAAAAGATGTATCAAATCACGCATAGAATCCTCAATAGATAACTTATAACTAAATAGCGATATAACTTTTCGGGATCAACCGACACATGCGGCGCGCGTCAAAGTAGCACCCATGCTTGATTTGCCAGCTTTATCGCATGGAAACTGTCCGAAGCGTACATAGTGGTACTGTGGTGCGAACCGAGCTGTCGTCTGTAGTGTTAGTCACTCGGTAGCCTCAAGGCCTCGAGTTTATTACCACCGGCGCGGCGTTGTAGCTTCGTGTACTGAGAAAATGGTGGAGGACAAAATGGCGAAGGCAAACACGGGCTCTGAGGTGATCATCTTTGATGAGAAAGCTATGGTGGCCAGGGCGGCCCAGGAGATGCCTAACATAGCTAGCGTCCATGTCTCCAAATCCAGTAAGGTCCACATTGGACCAAAAATTGTCGCAGTCAATCAAACGGTCGAGAATAAGGAAATGATAAAAGGTATGTAAATTATTGCATATCGTTATTAAGACAAAATTATTAAGAATTGTTTTTGTGTTTATTATCTGAATTGTATAAAAACGCGCGCGCGACCCGTCGACCTTTTCGGACAGGGAAAATGGATGATTTGCTGGCGCACACAGCGATTACTTTGGCGCTCAGCTGCGTAAATAATGTTGCTGCTTACTTGGATGTACTAATTATCTCAATCACAATGATGTTTGCAAAGCTTAATTTTTCTAAATGCCTTATTAGAGTTAGCCCTACGTCTTGTTTCATTTATCTGCGACTGTGTAGCAGGAAAATGCTTTATAGTCTACAACGATTTGTCATTATATACCATTGAATATGAACCTCTAACCCGATCGGTATAAGGTTCTAATTCATTCTTTGTAACAAATTGGAATTTCCTGTATTGCTTGCGATATTATATGTAAACAAGTATTACGACGCATGAAGCATCATCAAACAATTAATGAATTCTGCAACCTTTTTTGATAGTCCTAGGCGTATATCAAAATCGAAGTCTGGTAAATTGGGTAGAGAATGAATATGACAATAATGAGTTAAGCTCGATTAACAATGACCGCTACGTTACCAACTAGTTGGCCGTGTAACTTATCACCTGTATAATAATATAAAAGCAAAATGCGATTAAACCGTTAGAAAGAACATTCCAGCTTTAATAACAATATTGTAATATATAAAACTCAAAGGTGACTGACTGACATAGTGATCTATCAACGCACAGCCAAAACCATTGGACGGATCGGGCTGAAATTTGGCATGCAGGTAGATATAATGACGTAGGCATCCGCTAAGAAAGGATTTTGATCAATTCTAACCCGAAACGAAGCGAGGGCGGGCCACTAGTCTTTTTATAATTACATATAATGATAACAACAATTTTATTGATTGCATTTGAAAATAAATAACCTGCGTTGTTAACTTCATGTTTATGATCTAGGATAAATAATACTTAAGTGGATGTTAATTATGCAATCAGTTAAGTGCAAATTTTGGATACGAGGAACACTCAGTGTATAGTCAATATGTGCAACGGCAAGTTTTATTTGGCCCAATCGCGGCATTAGGACATGTCATCGTATGATATCACCCTGTTATTGGTAAATCTTAATTGAAGCAACTAGAATATCAGAATAGTAACATTCATAAAATAAGCGTTGAATTAACAACAGAATGCGTAATTATCGATCAGGTAATTCTACTTTAACCAAAAAGTCGAATAGTAGTGTCTTTTCAAAGTATTATTATGCAATTTCGAAAGTTAGAGCATTATTTTAATAAGTTTATTTTAAACAAAGTTCACGCTTATTGACAAATTATGTAATCGAACCAAAACAGCAATACATCAAGTGATTCAACGTTAGAACCATAATAATCAAAATTTGAAACAGTTTTTCTTTCAGACTTTGGTCGCTTATTTAGTAATGAAATTTTTCAAAAGGCCACAGAAACCCCAGAAAACAATTGAATCGAAATGTCATACCTATACCAGGAAACAGAGACTGCGAAAAAAAACCAGAACAAAGTGCGATCTTCTGTCTCTCTTGCACTCGTTTTACTGTGGTATTAATTAATATGAATAGAACGGTACCAACCATAGCTAAATAGTTTATAGTTTTGGCACTCTTATGCACATACTTAAATCGACTTTATTATTTTGTGCTGAATAAAGTTATAACTCTAAGCACCGACAATATTATTGTTAAAAAAGAGATTATTTATTCTACCGTTGTCATAATTTTAACACTGTTCAGTAGTGATGGCACTTCGCATGGGTAAATCATGCTCTACAGAAATTTTAAAAGAAAGACTGCAATTAAATTTACAATAACTACCAAATATACAAAATATATATATTAAAGTGTCATTTAGGTAACAAGTGCTAAGTATCATCAACGTCATCGTAGGGTAACCACTTTAGAAAAATGTTTCCGTGCGAGTGTAACAAATAACAATCACTGACTAACAATCGCATTGAGATGAAAGAGAAAGACTATGTTTGAATTTTTCAAAAACGGTCTGCTTAAATATTATACTTTTCTTGTACAGTTGTCGTATTAGATGGTTTTCGTCAAACCAATATGACGTGTGTTTTTCAATTAAAACTTTAACATAGCCGTTAATCTAATATATAAAATTCTCGTGTCGCGGTGTTTGTGGTTAAACTCCTCCGAAACGGCTTTCCCGATTCGCATGAAATTTTGTGTGCATATTGGGTAGGTCTGAGAATCGGACAACATTTATTTTTCATCCCCCTAAATGTTAAGGATAATCGAACCCTAAATTTTTTTTTCTATTTTAGATATATTTTTTTTAATTTTTTATCATACATCATACAAAAATACATACAACCCTAAATTTTCACCCTTCTACCACCAACCCCTATTTTTTTATGGCGGTACGAAGTTCGCTGGGACAGCTAGTCTTATATATAAAATTCTCGTATTTGATAATATTATGGCTGATGCACAAGACATATTTTTTAAGCAACCCCTATTCACCGTAAGAATGCTAAAGATTCGCATAACAGTCTCTGTATTCGACGATCGGTTAGTATTTTTCAGTATACTTGTCATACTAATGCAAATGTCGAAATCTCCAAAAAGTGCATAGCGAATAATACTTTGACAACGATGGCTCTAACTATTACACGGTTCTTGAGATATTAGCCCACTGATGCATCTGATGGGATTGGGTGGATGTGATGGGATGAAAGGACAGTGGAGGCTATTACGAAAAGCTTGTAACAACCAAGACTGTATTAATGATGACAATTCACGTTTTCAGTTGTTTACTGAAATAAATATTTTATTTGAATTCATTAAGAAATATGTACTTATATTTTTGTTTGTTAATAGCTGGCGAAACTATTTTTGTACGCTTTGGTATTTCTTATCAGGCTCAGCGCACGTTGTTTGATACATACTTCAATGTGAAAATACTTAGTAAAATTCTTAAGAAAAAGTTACCCTTTGTCCAAAATTTTACACATTTTACTAAGGCCGCGTTGTTTCATCGATAGTACTGGTTATTTTTTTCTACAGGATTTAAGTATAGCCAATTTTACTATCGATGAAACAAAACGACCTAAGCATTTGTAGTGAAATTGATTAATAATCCTATTCAACTAAATCTGGCTATAGTTAAAATACTATAGAAAAAAAACCGGCCAAGGGCGAGTCGGACTCGCCCACCTATATATATACGATATAATAAAAATAATCATAAATCATACATGATGTAACTAACAATTTATGGTTTTCGCAATTTTTCCTTTATCTGTACTATAAGACGGTACTTCGTCCCAAGTTTCAAGATTCTAAGTTCACGAGAAGTACCCTGCAGGTTTTGATTCCCGTGCGAGTTTCGAAAATTTGCGGCATAAACGGCTGTATCTTTTGATTGCTTTGGCTTAGAAGTTTGATTTTTTCACAGCACCAAGGGACAGTAGACTTAAGTATTATATATGAATTTCAGTTTGATACCTCCACGCGTTCCTGAGAAAAACGATCTTGACGGACGGACGGACGGACCTCAAAGTGATCCTATAAGGGTTCCGTTTTTTCCTTTTGAGATTCGGAACCCTAAAAGTAACCATTTGTCAAAATTTGACACATTTTACTATGTATTCGACGTGACATTGATCTATAGTCTCACCTATTTATGTATAAAACAACAGGCCCTTAAATTAACACTTAGATATTAAGGTTTTAAGTTGCTGAAATTCTATCCTCAATAACGATTAGACTCATATATCGAAGTTTAATTAGCGAGCAAAGCTATTATCTATTGTTTATCAATGATCAACAACACATGATCTCTTGTCAAACTATATCGTCTGAGCTGAAGATAATATGAGATAGGTTAATGGCGGCACATATCTATGGGGCACCGTACCGGCTTTCCAATCAGCGTTGCCATTGATACGGATATAACCGTAACACACGGCAATTTGAGCTCATAATTTCAGATTATACGGCAAACGGAAGGTTTGTCATTGCCGTATAATAATACTAACTACCTATAAATTTTAATAAATAAAATTAGGTAATACGGCAAAATCATTATTTTTATTTAAAAATACGGCAATCTGATGTATCGAATACGGCAACACTTTCAAACTTGATGGCAACACTGTTTCCAATATTTGCGTACAGTTTTATGTTACAAAAAGTACTTATTGAAAGGTGTATTTTCACTTAACTCTTACAGGGTGACAGGTAAGCAACTTTACCTCAGCCTAAAAATAAATCTTAAAAGGAAAAGAAACAACATTTTTACCTAAAATTAAGCTACCAAATTATTTATTCCAAATATATAAATAGATAGGTATATTTTACAAAAAAAATATGTGCTTGAAATATTAACACATTTAAATTTGGTGAATGGACACATACTTAAGTGTTTATTTAGTCTTTGGTTTGGTTGGTTGGTTTAATTTTTATTGCACTTTCTGTTTCCCGCTAAGTTAAGAATCTCCGACACCACCTAGATTGGCTGGAAGAGATCTCTTTTAGTGATAGGTCTAGTCCACCTTTGCTATGTATTTGACTTTCTATTTTGAACTGTATGATGCAATAAAGAGTATAATGAAGATTCTTAATCGACAATTTCGTGTACCTAGCCTGTACAAAGTACAGTGTACATAAGCGGTATTATTACAACATGTCTCATAAGGCCATTACAATAATTGAATGTCTAACTGATAGAAGCTCATCAGAAACTTACATGTAATAAAAAGATAGATTATTGTACCTTCACTATTCAATTAAACTGCTAATCATTATATGTAAGTACATAAATTCTGAACGAACTAAAAGAAAAGTTGGTTAAAGATTAAACACTCGTTACAGTATTTTAAAAGCAGGTAAATGTAAAAAAATTATTTTTATAACTTGAACTACGTATTACGTAAGTTGTTGTGGTCATAAAGCTAAAGGTGTAACATTATTGTTATTCTTTTTTTATGATAA